ACCCAAGAGAGGCCCCCTACCCACGACCAAACGCCGTGGCACTGGTACCGGCGTCCGGCGGACAACGGAGGAGGGAGGCTCGAGCATTGACCCGAGTCAGGGGACCCCGTTGCTTTGTTGTGGCGTGCTGCTGCCGGTGCAACTGATGTTCTACCTGGCACGGGCTTTGGTGGATGAGCCGGCCGCCGCCAGCCTTCTACAACTCGTGAGCATCTCTCCAGTCTGTCAGAATGGCCATCGCTTCATGGAGATACGCGTTAAAGTGGAAGTACCGGCTTCGATTGTAGGGCGGCCCCAAATTGCCATTGCTGCGCGAATGCTGGAGGGCTGCCGGCGTGGACGCCTGCCTGCTAGACGGGGGGAGTTCGACCCACAGATGTTCTCGTACCCTTGCGTTTGCAAGGGTACCTTTCGGCTTTTGCTTCCGCTTGACGAAATCCACTTGGGGTTGCAAGCGCCGCCCACTCTCCCCATCCAATCCGCCGGCCTTTTGCACGCGGCCCTAATGCGCGTCCGGGCGGCTGCTACCACCCCAGGCTGGGATCTCAGTGCAGTCGTGGTGTTTTGGCTGAGGGGGCCCCAGAAAAAGGACTTTTACTTCCCGGTACGCTTGTGGCGCTACGCCCATCTTGAAGCGTGGGACGTCAAAGCCAACGTTCTCCTTCATCACCTCGTGGCCCAAGAGTCGGGTGATAAGACAATGCCCGATGGGAGCCGTGCTTGGTGTCGCCTAGGCGACCCCTGGGGCCAAGAACGCTGGAAAGCAGAAGCTGACGCTTTCTTGGCGCAAGGTGGACTCGGCCCTGGCATTCAAATCCCTTTCGTATCCTCGGAACTCATGCCGCCTCTCCATGCGCCCGATCTGGATATGCACAGGTACAGCTTCCACCGTTTGCGTGAGATGTATGCGCAGCGCAATTTCCAAATGTTGTACCTTCTGCACGAGTCCCAATTTCCGGCTGGCGGCAACGACATGCAGCGCCTGCTGGATGCCTGGCCACCGCAGTCAACACTGGACCGCACCCAGTAACAAGAGGCGTTGGCCCAATGCCTGCGCATTGCGACCGTCGACATACGTCGTTGGGTCAATTGCCTTTCCTCAGGCTATAGGTCTGGATTTGTGGACTTCGTGTGCACGATCGGGACACAACAGGACTCCGGGGCTGACCGTTGTTCGACGGAACTAGAACGGCGGCCGGAGCTTTGACTTTGGGCTCCACCGGTGGTCTTGGACAGCTTGGGCGACGGCCTTCTGCTGTTGTGGATCGGTCGCTGAGGCCCCGTAGCTCGTGCTGAACGGCCAACACCGGCAAAGCCTGTGCGCCGCAGCTAGCTCTTTTGGTTTGTCTTGTTTGTAGGGACCGAGAGCTACAGCCGTAGTCGACGAGGCCCGCCCACGCCTGTAGTTGTCTTTTGTGTGTTTCTTTTTCTTTTGTGTGTCTGATTGCGTTTCGTATCATTACTTCTTTTCTTCCATTTATTTTCTTCGCGAAAACCCACATTCAGCGATTTCATGTGGCTTCTCGATTCTGTGTGGTTTTCATTTTGTTTGGATTGGTAACCCTTCGAACTCTGGGAGGGAGTCCAGAAGGTCTTTTGCGAAACCGCCCATAAAGCGGTTTCGTTTGGCTTCTTCTTCTTTTTCTGGCAGGAAGTGGTTTTGGGCAGTCTCTTTCGCTTCTAAAAACAGCGGAGAAGTTGGAGGGGGCCCAAACCCCGGGTTCCAACAAAGCGAGCGCGCCTGCAAGCACGCGAAAAAAAACTGTCAAGAGCGGAACCTGGAACAAAACTGCAAGCAAGTACGCGGAACGCGACAGCAAGCAAAAGCATCATGCGATGGCCAACACGTGACGCGAACACTGCAAGTAAAAGCGACGACAGAAAACGCGTGACGCGAAAACTGACCCCGGTCCCCAGAGTCCCCAGCATCCGTAAGAAGCGACAACGGAAGCACATGAGCTCCTGCGTAGTGTGGTCCGTTGCAAAGTTATAGCTTCCCGGAAGGGAAGCGACCGACCTTGAATTGTGCCCATCCGTGCGCACTTCGGTGGCTTCATTGATGCGTCGGTGGAGCGCGGGGTTGCTCGCATAGAGCTTTTGGACGTCTTCCCTCCAGCGTGACCACGGATCTGATTCGCTTGGAAATCCACTTTCCAAAATCTGTGCAGCGACTTGCTTTGCCGCAAAGCTTGAAAGTTTTTAAGAGTAATTTAGTGCTTCTCTTGTTTTTTTTGTGATTTGTGTTTGTTTTTCATTGTTTCTTTTTGTTTTTAATTTTGTTTTGACAGTCTTTTCGATGACACAATTTGATTTCTTCGTTCGCTTTCACTCAAATTCTTCTTTTCGTGTGTTGGAGGTTGGTTTTGAGTGTGGAACAGTTTTTTTTGTGCCGCAAAATCATTAGAGGCCGGTCCGAAAAGGATTAGAGTCAGTCGAGATGTTTCGAGGCCGAGAAAGGTCGGAAAAAGGACGGTTGGAAAAAGACAGACCGGAGTCGAAATCAAGATGGCAATCTTGTACGGACGTTTCTCGATTCCTTGAAGAGTTTCCGTGCGGCTGGTCTTTTTCCAGACCCCAAGATGTCTTTTTCTAGACCGCGCGATCTTTTTCCTTTTTGTTCGACATCTACGGTCCAGGAAAAGACTTTGATTTGTTTTCGGCCACAAGCAGAGGCCAGAAAAAAGACAAGTTGGAGCCAGAAAAAGATCAATTCTTTATCGTGTGTGTTTTCAATTCTTTATTTCATTCTTATTTTCTTTGCTTTTGCCCCCTAAAGCGATATCGTGTGGCTTCTCCTTCCTTCGTGTTGGAAAACGGTTTTTTGATAGTTTTTCGATGACACAGTTTGCTTTCTTTCGTTCGCTCTCAGCCCCTGAAGCGATTTCGTGCTTCTTCTTCTTTTTGTGTGTACGAGAAGATAAGAAGATGTTGGTTTGAAGACAGTATGGTTAAGTAGTTTTTGTGCAGCTTGCGTCGCAAAAATTCATATTGTAGCGCTCTTTGTTGTGTTGTTTGATATGTGCGGTCAGAAATCAGACATTAGAGGCCAGAGGGGTCCGAAAAAGACACGGGGTCAGTTACGAGATATTTCGGGGCCGAGAAAAAAACGGCTTAAATCGTAGAGTGGAGGTCGAAAAAGAAGATCGTAATCTTTTTCTAAACCTCGTCGCGGGGCTGAAAAAAAGATGGAGGTCGGAAAAAGGACGAAATATCTTTTGGGGTCGAAAAAAAGGGCAGCCCGTTTCCGTTCATGGCCGTCCGCAATGCGGGCGAACGGGCGGAGCATCCATGCCTCCTTGTCCGTCTACGTATGTCGTTCCTGCCTCTGTTGTTTGCGCCAATCAGCAAGTGGTTGCGGAGCCGATTGTGCAAGCCTTTAATCGTTGACGGAGAATATGAGTGTATGTTCGTGCACCCATTTGCATATTCCGGCACCATCCGACTTGTGTTTCCGCTTGAGAACATGGCCTTGGGCTTGGACTCTTCCCTCTCCGACAAATCCAGCCTGCCGGAATCTTTCGCAATGCGCTCAGCCGGCTCCGCAACAGCGCGACTTCTTGCTGGTTGGAATTTCCAGCAGGTCTGTGTTAAGTACTGGCTGCGCGGTCCCACACGCCGACACACTCTTGCTTCCCCATGCGTTTTTTCCGCCTTGGGTGGTGCACCCTTCGAGGACGGAGCCAAGGTCATGGAAAGTCATGAGCATGACGACTCCGTTTGTCGCCTTTCTGCTTGCTGTGCACCTTGGCCATGGAGTCAATAGAAGTCTGTTGACATGATAGATGCAAAAGAGCGCAGTGCTTGGTCCAACTTAATTTGTAGAAGCCATACTCGCATTTTTCTGCAAAAGACTTATAAACGATTTTGCCCAACCTTGGATTGGGGTTCACATCAGGTTGGGTGGATGAACTCCAAAGCTAATCCACAGGCATGTTCCATCTGAATTTTTGAAAAGGGCTTCAGAATCCTGGACTCCAAAATCTCAAACTGAACTTGAGAAGGAGGTTTAAGGGGTTTGAGAAAAGGGAGGCGCTCAAGAGGGGCTTGAAGGGAGCTTGAGAAAGAGACTTCAATACCATAATCTTCGACATTGCTTCACAGACTCCATGCTCCTTTCAAGACTCATGGTGTACGGAGCCTCCACCTCTACGAGAAAGAAGAGACAGCTCGCACAGAGCGCGACTCGAGTAAGTTTCTCATGCAGTCGCCCACTGCCCAAGACGTCCCTTCCAGCAGCCATTCTTACGAGCGTGTTGCTACCGAAGTCCCCGCTCTGCAACTCACACACCTTCAGATGGAGCACGTCTACAAGGTGAACTTTGCCAGCGGAAGCCTCGCCGTGCGATAGAACCTTTCATGATTCACGGAAGCGGCACGTGTTAGTGTTTCACACAATTCCCAGTGTGCGTGCGTTTTTTGTGCTTTACATCCTGCAAAGTCCAAGAATCCATAGTGGATCTGCTTTGTGCAAGCGGCCTCCTGTTTTGCCAGCTTGATTTCGAATCCTTAGAACTTAAGCATAAAGCTTGCACGGTTTCCCCAAAGCTTCTCGGCTTTGGAGCTCCCGATCTTCAGGCATTATGAGATTCTCAGATGGAGCCGCGAGGAAGAAAATGCGGAAGTCTTGCCATTCCAAATCACACAGACAAGTGCGATCGTATTTTTCACGCTCAGTTGAGATGAAGTCACCATAAAGGTGTATGCTGCATCACGGGTAGCAAACAAACAAGGAGCAGCCAGTTACAGTTTCGGGAGTCAGGGAACGAGTGCCAAAGCTTTGATTGTTTTGCCGTGGAACCTAGTGTCATCGTTGCGTCTTGCTTTTGCCAGCACTCGAGACGATGTGTAGTCGAGTCTAATGGCTGAGAAAAAAGTCATGTTTGGCAGATGTAGTGGTTCAGGGTTTAGGGCAAAGATGATGTTGTGTTGTCCGCAAACCTCACAAACCCGATAGTCGTGAATTTGCGAAGCTTACATGCGAGAGTCAACTTCAAGACCAGATGGACTCCTCACCTGCCGGATGTCGCTGCAAGCCGTGTTTGGCGGTAGTTGTATTCAGCAAAGACCGTCCGTGTCAGCTGTTGGCATCCGTGGCCTCATTGCTGGAGCACATTACCGAGGTGGACTTGGACATCACGGTGCTCTTCAAAGCCTCTTCCGAAGAGTTTCGCGAATCGTACCAAGTGGTACGGTCGCTGTTGGGCAAAAAGTCGTTGAAGAAGTCGAATGCAGTTGCACATCAAGCTGAAACTGTGTTCCATTGGGATGAAGAGGATGACGTGTTCAAGGTGGGTGACTTGTTGGATGCTGCCCTTGCCAGGATGGAAGGAAAGTGCCGCGTCTTGCTGTTCACGGTTGACGATGCTTTGTGGTTTGGCGATTTCCATGCAGGTGCTGCGATTGAACTGTTGTGCTCGAACTCCAAGGTATATGCTGTGCATACCAAGCTGTGCCCGCGTGTTGAATATGCACATCCCAATGACAAATTCATGCGAGTGCCACCACTGTCGCATGCCACACCTCCCTCACTTTCTGGAGCAAGCTCTCAACTGCTGTTGTTTGAGCGCTCGAATGGCGAGTATGACTGGAACTATCCATGGGAACTCAGTGCTTCCCTCTACCGCCTGGAAGCAGTAAAGGAGACCTTGCAAGCTATTCGGACTGAGTTCGGCCAAGATGCAGTTCATCATCCGAATCATATTGAAGGCTATGGGGTGCGTCTTTTAAAGCAGCAAAAGCTTGCCTCAGCAAACCTTGCCCCTCTTTGTGCTTGTCTATGCAGCCCAGTTGTCGTGGTCGTGACAATCAATCGCGTGCAATCCTTGTTTGAGAACCCGGTTTACGAAGCACCGGGACAAGATGCGGCCGAAGTGCATCCCCTCATCCTTGACAAGCTTCTGCGGGCGATCTTGCGCGAATCAGGGCGGCGCTCGTTGGCTCTGAAGCCGGCAGAAGACGTCGCTGTTTCCATGTCCGAGTTGCTGGATGCGTCACCCGAGTTTCTGCGAAGTTACTGGGGCGACCTTTCGGTTCCAGCCACTTTCGGGGATCTGCTGTCGTCACCATCATGGCCACCGGCACTGCTGCAACCCGATGTATACAGGAACACCTACTTGGACAGCGTGCACGTTCCGTTGCTGGTGGCTGAGAGGATTCCAAGAGACTTGGAAGTGAATCCTCTGGTCTCCTGGCTCATTCCGGTCAGGGACACGCCCTCAAGATGGCTGAAGGACGCCTTCGACAGCATTCAGGCACAACTGGGTGTGGGCCCTGGTGCCTGGGAGCTGGTCGTCGTGGATGACGGCTCACAGAAGGAGGATACCTTGGAGACACTAAAGGATTGGAGATCCTTGCCGAACGTGCAGGTCGTCCGGGCTGAAGCAAGTGCTGGTGTGGGGCCTGCCCTGAACCTAGGCTGGAAGCATTGTCGGGGACGGTATGTAGCAAGGCTGGATGGAGATGACATCGCACAGCCGTCCCGCCTGATTCACCAGATCTCTTTCCTGGAGAAGCATTCTTCCATCTCGATTCTTGGTGGAGGTTTCAGGACCTTCACCGAGGATGAGCATGGTGTACGAATAGGCGAGCGCCAGTATCGCTTTCCCTGTCATCCGCTTCTGACGAGATGGCACATGATCTTCTCTTGCTCCCTGGCACATCCAACTGTGGTAATGCGTCGCGACAGCATACCTACAGGTGACAACGGGCCATATCCCGAAGATGAAGAAGCCGAAGATCACTGCTGCTGGTTGGCGATGCCGTTGAGAGTGCAAATTGCCAACATTGCCGATGTTGTATGTCACATCAGAAGGCACAGCAACTCCCGAACCGCCTCAGCTTCGAAGAAGCTTCTGCAGTCATCGTATGGTGCGGTGCGGGCTTTCTTGAAGCGTGAATGTGCTGAAGACCAACTGACTGATGCAGATGTTGCAGTGCTTTGGGGCAGAGAAGGAGCTGCGACATCAACGCAGGCCGCGACCGTTTCACATGCCTTGGGATTGCTTCAAAACTGGTTTACACAGATCCTGCATGAAGATACAAGTCCTGAACTGTTGCCTTCTGGATTCCGGCAAGACTTCGTGAAGAATCGTTTGTCAGCGCTGGAAGAGTATGCCGCTTGGACTTTGCGAGAACCCTTTTGGGGTTTCGGACTTTCAAGGGTCCGGTTTTTTTCATGGAGCACCTGCAGTAGCCCTTGACAGGTCAAGTCCTCCTGCAATAAGCTGAAAGGCCAGGGAAGGGCTGATCGCAAGCTCGGGACTCTGTTGTGGACTGGTCATGTTGGGTGCGGGAGACTCACGTCTGGAGGTGAACACGGATGTTGCTAGTGGGACTAGTGCTCCTGCGACTCGGCTCTAGTGTTTCAGGGTTCAGACACTCCCACTCCTAATCCAAAACCCAGAGCCCATTCCCAGGAACAGAACCTGAGACGCTCGTGCACCCGGACCAGTGTCCTTGTGTCCTCCCGTCGGCATGAGCTCGAAGCCCGAAGCACGCTCCACATCTTTCTCGACAAGCGATCCCTGAACCCCAAGCTCTGACTCTAAGCCCTATATAAACTCCCGAAGCCGAAAAACTTAAACTCTGAACCCTAAACCCTAAACGAAGAGCCCCAGCAGGTTCTCTGGCCTCGGGCTCAGCTTGGCTCCGGGCGTGCTCATTTGGGGCTTCTGGTGAAGTTGTGCCGTTTCTTCTGTGGCCTTCTGTGGTCGGCTGCGGCTTAGGATTCGCTTCTGATGCAATTCAAGTTCTTAGAGAGTAATAAGCGGCAGAATTTGAGAGTCGTCGTACGTCGGATGCACATAGGCCAGTTCTTCAACACGTTCGACGGCTTGTCCTGAATCTGCCGTCGCCGATGAAGTACACGAGCCGTGTCAGGATTTCCCTCGGTCGGCAGTGAACACGCACACTTGACGTAGCACGCAGAAACTCCCGCAACCCTCGATGTGCGGGGCACCGAAATCAAAGGAGTTTCTGGGCGAGAGGCCTTCAGTCGCCAGATTTTTGCTCACGCCCATCGTTTTGGCGCATATCTTTGCCAGTCGCAACAATGTCCTGAAAGAAGTCAGCCCTTTTGCTCATCGGAAGGGCTTCAGTTGAGGCCGTGCAATCCCTTGCCTCGGGCGACGTGGACGTCGGGGCTGAGATGATGAAGCAGTGGCTCAAGGCTTCGTCCTCAGTTCCCATTCATATGGGGCAGTTCTTGCGATGTTCGGTGTTTCGGTGCTGTCGTGTCTCTAGCATTCTAGCTAGACTCTGGGGCGATTTTTGCAATCCACTTACACAGATTCCAGGGTGGCGATGCCGGCTTGAAGAGCCTGGGAGCACTGATCCAGGCAGGCTACGGCAGCAAGGGCCAATGATCCCCGAGCCGGACACTCTGGTCTCCGCTGCCCGGGCCAGCGGCCAGCCATCTTCTCGCACTCGGACATCACCGCCCTCTCTACGGGTGCTACAACTTCAACAGCGAGAGCAGCATCTCCCGGAGCAGAAGATGCGGCATGCGGTGGAAGCACCTGAAAAATCTGAGTCCACCTGCTTATGTTCTTTGCGTCGCACATCACACGTTCTCCTCGTCGTTTCGCTTTGCTCACTCCGTGTCTCTATGTGTAGGGTTTCAATAACTGAGTTTCCTGAGTTGCGCCTGCAGCAACTCAAAACAAAGAGCTTCGTCCAAGCCGATTGTAGTTTCTAGCCATGGGCAAGAAGAGCTACCAGAACTATGGCAAGACCTTCAGAAAGCCAAAGCGACCATTCGAGAAGGAGCGATTGGATGGCGAAATGAAGATCATCGGCGAGTACGGCCTCAAGAACAAGCGTGAGGTGTGGCGCGTCCAGTACGCGCTGGCCAAGATCCGCACGGCAGCCCGAACGTTGCTGACCCAGGAGGAAAGGAGTGAGACACGTATCTTCCAGGGAGAGGCATTGCTGCGCCGCATGGTTCGTCTGGGCCTTCTCTTGGAGTCCGAGAAGAAGCTCGACTTCGTGCTGGGCCTGACCACGGCCAAGATCATGGAGCGCAGGCTGCAGACCAAGGTCTTCAAGCTTGGCTTAGCCAAGTCCATCCACCATGCCCGCACACTGATCCGCCAGCGCCACATCCGTGTGGGCAAGCAGATCTGTGACATTCCTTCCTTCTTGGTGCGCCTGGACAGCGAGAAGCACATCGACTTCGCCCTGACTTCGCCCTTCGGTGGAGGCCGTCCAGGCCGTGTGCGACGCAAGATGATGGCCTCCAAGGGCGGAGGCGGTGGTGGCGATGATGAGGAGGACTAATGTGATGGAGAGATGGCTCTCCAGTTTCACGTGAATCAGCAAAGGTTTGTATGTAGAGTTGGTGAATCCATTTCTTCGGAAGACGCTTAGAATCACACAAGCCGAGTCCTCCAGAGCGATATCGGATAGCCTGATAGCTGTTTTGAGACTGGCTGGCCTGCCGGTGTGCTGAAAAAGTTGCACTATCGGCGACACGGATCTCCAGCGGTCGTCCACTTGGCTGTGTCCTTACAGTATGGGGATTTCGCTGACGGCATGTTGTCTTGCACTCGGCATGCCTTTGCCCCTCGTGTCAAACAGTTTGCTTGCTGCAGACCTCCTGCCCACAGATCAGCCGGGAAGATAGTAGCCAAGGGTCACTGAGCCATGGGCAAGAAGAGCTACCAGAACTATGGCAAGACCTTCAGAAAGCCCAAGCGACCATTCGAGAAGGAGCGATTGGATGGCGAAATGAAGATCATCGGCGAGTACGGCCTCAAGAACAAGCGTGAGGTGTGGCGCGTCCAGTACGCGCTGGCCAAGATCCGCACGGCAGCCCGAACGTTGCTGACCCAGGAGGAAAGGAGTGAGACACGTATCTTCCAGGGAGAGGCATTGCTGCGCCGCATGGTTCGTCTGGGCCTTCTCTTGGAGTCCGAGAAGAAGCTCGACTTCGTGCTGGGCCTGACCACGGCCAAGATCATGGAGCGCAGGCTGCAGACCAAGGTCTTCAAGCTTGGCTTAGCCAAGTCCATCCACCATGCCCGCACACTGATCCGCCAGCGCCACATCCGTGTGGGCAAGCAGATCTGTGACATTCCTTCCTTCTTGGTGCGCCTGGACAGCGAGAAGCACATCGACTTCGCCCTGACTTCGCCCTTCGGTGGAGGCCGTCCAGGCCGTGTGCGACGCAAGATGATGGCCTCCAAGGGCGGAGGCGGTGGTGGCGATGATGAGGAGGACTAATGTGACCGTTCCCTTGAGAAGGCCGGGATCCTTTGCTGTGCTACAAGTAATCGAGAACTTCTTCCTGTTTCCGATTTGCCTTTGCAGGCGAAGCGCTGCTCTGTGTGGAGGGGAGAGCTGATGGCCGGGGCGAGGAACAAAAGTGGTCTCTCTCAGCACGTTGGATTGCCTGGGTGCTAGAGGGTGCAAACTGCACAAGACACAGGATTGGGTGGGATCTGTCGACAGTTAAGTGTGTGCAACGCCTTCCTCCTTCCGTCGCTTGATTGCGTTCCGTTTGCCATCTGCGCATTCAGCTCATAAAGATAAAACGGCCCATCCCGGCCTATCCCCATCTCTCGAGTTCTTTGTCCCGCTGTCTCTCCCGATGGCGACACCGGATGCCTTCCGGAAGGGGGACCTCGTGGAGGTGTCTGGGTTCTTGTAAAGGAGCCCAATTTAAGTTAACATGGTAGGGATCTACAGCAAAAAGGGTTTCCTTGTTATGGTACCTTAAATTATGGTACCTTACGTTCTGGTAGCTTATATTCTGGAACCGCAAAAACTGGAACCCAGGTGTTTTACCGGATGCCAGCTCCGGAAGACCTCGGCCGCGAGCGGGTGGACATGATCGGGGATCGCTGGATCCTCTGCGCCGTGGGAGCCTGAGTCTACTTCTGAGGTGGGGGGGTGTGCTTTCTAGAAGGCGAGGGCTCTTTCCCTCTCTCTCTCTCTATGTCTCTTTCTCTGTCTTTTCTTGAAGCCCTGCTTTCTTGCAAAGTTTCCGAAGAAGGCTCCTCCAAAGCGGAACGCTGAGGCTCCGGTCTTGGGAAACAACAGGCCGCGCATTGGCTGGACCCAGCGCTGGCTCCCTGCCGTGGTGGTGGAGGCCACGGAGGCCCCGGAGGAGGAGCAGGAGGTCCGGTGCCGCTGGGAACTACGCCAGTGGTATGACTGGGCCACCGGCGACCACATCGAGGTCACGACGGACCCCCATGCTCTGGTTCACGAAGTTGGAGCGCGCATGGTGCGGAGGCGATCGGCAGATGCATGGAACATTCCGAAGACATGCAACTGGAATTCCAACATGCTGTACCCACGGTGCGGCACTGAAATGGCAGTCGGTGGGTGCGAAGTTGCCGTTTCCTTTATCGTGTTCCAGTGGGGTGCTGCAAAGATCGGGGTGCAGTACGATTCCCACTCTTGGGGAGAATCGGAAGGTTCAACCGTGTCGAACCGTTTCATTCAAAAATTCTTTCAAGATGCTGTGATTCCCAAGTACCAATGTGACTACGAGGTCCTGACGGTCTTCATTCAACATAGTGATGAGTTTGCAGGAATTTCAGCTGAATTCCTTGCATCGCTCTGCCGGGGTCGGTCTGTGTGTGCCCTTTACTTCTTGTGGCCTATCCAGGGATACCAAAGCTATGGTGAGAAGTTGCCCACCGCAGCGGCTTATGTCACTGCAGAGCCCTTCTATGCCCTCGTAAGTCGCATGGAAACTGCGGGCATTCCGACAAGGTGGCCGCACCCCGTGCAGCTCTGGAAGCTCTTGACCTCGAAGGACTGGATCTCGCAGCTTTGTAGCTCTTGGCAGTTCCAAATTCCCGTGACCACCCGGGTCTCCAAAGCTTTGGTGCTCGTGGACCCCCCGAAGGCCGCTCTGATGGCGCTCAGTGCCCTCCGAATGCTACAGCGAGCCCGGCGGGAGGCTTGGAAGGCTACGCACTCGGATTGGAGCGAAGGGGAGGCCGAGCTGGTGGTGAAGCTGGGCTACAGCTACGAGGCAGCAGATGTGAGGATGGTGAAGCCAGAAACCCTGGCCGAGGCCATGTATAGCCTGGTGACCCAGCCGAACTACACAAACGACTGCGTCTACGTACAGGAGCGCGTGCGGACGGTGCACTTGGAGGCGCGGTGCTTCGTTCTGAACGGCGAGGTCGTGGAAGCGCTCTTCACGAGGTTCGCGAGGATCGACTGCAACGGTTACGTCCGAGACTACGAAAAGAGCTCCCAAAACGCCCAGGAGGAGCCCCTGAAGTGGCTCTTGAATGACGAGGCGGCCTTTGAGGATGCAAGGTCTCAGATGAGGCGCTTGTCCCGTCTCTGGCATCTTTGGCTCCTGACGCAGTCGGCCGAGCCGACGGTGTCCGTTCGGATCGACTACCTCGTGGAGCGCGTGGCGCCGGGCAGGGCCGAGGTGTGGACCTGCGAGGTTGGGGAGCAGGGGCACCTCGGAAGCGATACGATGCACTGACAGTCTGGGGATCTCTTCTTGTCTCTGCAAGTTAGGATTGGAATGTAGTAGCACCGTGACAGTGAAGGTACAGCATGGAAGGCATCGATCCTGCCCTTGTGTTCAAGGCCGTCGTTGACACTGTGTGAGGGGATGCAAGAAGGTGATTTTAAGTGCTTTGTTACAATCCCCTGGCCACGCCCACGGCAACCGACTGGGTGGCGTTCCACAGCGTGGGAGCTCTCGACGTCTCACGGCCCGAAAACGAGTTCTACTTCAAATCGTTCTGGCGACGGAGATGGCAATCGATTGATTGGACTCGTTTCTGCGTATTGCGGCGATGGCGATGGATCGGAATACGAGAGCGTGCGAGATGCGGAGCATGGCAGTTCCGTGCACAGCTCTTCTCTTGCTCTGGTGAGCCTCGAGATCCCTTCAAATTGAGAGAGCAGCGACGAGAGATGTTTGTTCAGAGGTGTTCTGAGCACGGCAAGCCGCATGCTGAGCATGCAAAAGCTGCGCCTTTGACTGTGGGGATCTCTGGAATTCCCTGAAGTCGCAGTCACCTCGCAGGGCGAACTCTGCAGTCTCTTGCTTGGAGTACTCAGCTTATCCTGCACATCTTGACTAAAGAGTATCTCGCGTCTCAGCATGCGTTGACTGTCATCTCCTTTACGGCTTCGATGCGGCTGCAGCCATGAAGAAACTCCGTAGTCTGCGCATTTTTCTGTACAGTCCCAGATGGCTGGTGGTTCTGGCCGTCTTGACCACACGATGTGCAGCTGAGATCAGGCTGGTTTGCCCCAACGAAGCCTTGAGACTTCACGTAGCCGCGGTCTGCCTTCCACCGTCGGGGCTTTCGGGATTTCCATCGCTCGCCCAGTGACAGCGTGGCAGCAGTTTCTTGCTCGCTTGAGCGTCTTTTTATCATCATTTTAGGCCTTGACTTACTTGTGAGGGTGCTCCGTGTAGCAGCGACCACGAAACATCACCATCTAGCTGAAAATGGCCCTAAACCCGAAAGCTCCCAAGCAGATAACTACACAGCTTTGTGAAATTGAGCCTTAAAGATATACTGCAGAGCCATAAGCTGAAACCAGCCGCTGTACAGAAGGAATCTTCAGCTTTCGTGGGATTCACCAAAGGCGCAGCCTCTAGAACCTGGGGTTTCGGGTTTAAGGATTTACCCAGAGAACCCGCCTTAAGGTTCTAGACTAGCTTGTGTAAGGAAACCTTCCTTGATCGATGTCTGCACGGCCAGGGCGCACCAACGCTTCCACAAAGAAATCGGTCCCTGGGCGGGAGTTGGCTGGTATGAGGGTCACGGGTGACACCGGAACCCCAAGCCCCACATACACCGTAGCCGACAAATCCTACGTCCTAGCAGGACACCGGAGCCTTTCTACTGGTTAAGTTTAGTTGGAAACTGCGTCTCTTCGCAGGCAGCTCACGCTTTGGTTTAGGACTTGGATGCAGCACACCTGCGCAAGAAAGCCTGCGCATCACCATGTTGCGGAAAGGTCTGCAGTATGTATGTACATGTGAATGTATGCGAGATGTTCCGTATTCAGCAGGGCTGTGCCGTCAGTGCCAGTGCCAGATGATTGTATTTGCATACGTATGCAAACGAGTAGCCGAGCAAGTATGCAAGAAGGGAAATGCACGGCATGTCGTCGCATGAATGGCATTGCGATTTCGACTTTTCCACAGTTCTTCCTATCTATCTATCTATCTATCCATGTCTCTTTCTCTGTACCTCTCTATCCCTCTATCGCTTTCTATCTCTCCATCTTCTATCCTTCTACCTATCTACCTCTCCAGTGGTCTCTCCAGCTCTCCATCCCTCTCTCTATCTGGGAGTTTCCGACAATAGGGGACCCGAATATAGTACCCTAAATAGTAGGATCCTTATAATAAGAGCCCCCCCAATAAGGTAGCCCCAATTTTGGGAAACTCCCATCTCTCCCCCTAAACATCCCTAAACCCTAAACTTGCCTTTGGTTAGTAGGGAATGGAGGAATGGAGTACAATTATAACTACTATTACTACCAGTCTTCCATTCCCTACTAACCAACGGTAAGTAAACCCTAAACCCTAAACCCTTATAGATCCCTTAAGGGAACCCCTACCGGTAAGTAAACCGCTCTCCGTTTAGGTGGCCTCCGCGCTGCTGTGGGGGCGGACGGCAGCGCCTCGCTCCACCGGAGCTCCCCCGAAGTGGTAGGCCGGTCTCAGCACTCCAAGCGCTGCTCTCAGGGTTGAGGGTTTAGGGCTTTGGGTTTAAGGGTTTAGAGTTTAGGGCTTGGGGTTTAGGGTTTAGGGTTTAGGGTTCAGGGTTTGGGTGAGGGTTTAGGTTGTTTTGGGCTGCTCTGAAGGTCTGAGATTCTGTGAGAAGCGGTGTTGCCTTCTTTCGCATGAGCCTTTGATCAACTCGTAAACGGGTCAAAAGTTAGCTGTCCAAAGATGCTGTGCAATGTGTGGTGGAGTTCGGATATATACTATATATATATATATGTATCTATCTCTCTCTCTCTCTATATATATATATATGCCATATTTAGAACGAGCCTGATGGCCCCCTTAGGCATCATACCGACTGTCTGAAGGTTACTGCTCTCGTCATGCGAAATTTACAGGATGCATCGCGGATGAGATTCGAAGCTGACGATGGCCTTTTGTTGTCCTGTGTGCTCCAGCAACATCTAGCAATCCAGCACTCGCAATGGACGCGCGATCCTTGCTCCGCAATGCCATCTGTTCACCCTAGACTCGTGTCGACTGAAAGCGCATGCGCCTTCCTCAAGCATGATGGCGTGCTTGTTTGCTGGGGCAAACCAGAGGCGGGTGGTGACAGCAGAGGGCTCGAAAAGGGGCTTCAAGATGTGCAATCGGTTCATGCTACTGATGGCGCATTTGCTGCATTGCGGAAGGATGGTACGGTAGTAAGCTGGGGTGACCAGGCGTTTGGTGGTGACAGCGCCTCGGTCCAAGAGCAGCTTTACGATGTACAAGAGGTCCACTCCACTGATGGTGCATTTGCTGCTTTCCGACAAGATGGTGTCGTCGTGAGCTGGGGCGACCGTCATTGTGGTGGTGACAGCACAGATGTCCGAGAGCAACTCAAGGACGTGCAGGAGCTGCATTCGAATCGATCGGCATTTGCTGTAATCCGCAAAGACCGTAGCGTGGTAGCCTGGGGCGCACACAGGAGGGGTGGCTCGAGCTCCCATGTCCAGACGCAGCTTTGCGACGTGCGAGAGATTTGCTTTAATAGAGTAGTGTTTGCTGCCATCCGGAAGGATGGTACGGTAGTTAGCTGGGGCGATCCGGAATGCGGTGGTGACAGCAGGCACACGCAAGATCAGCTTCACGATGTGCGATCGCTTCACTCCACTGAGTGGTCCTTCGCCGCCATCCGAAATGATGGCACCGTGGTAACCTGGGGTGACCAGACGTTTGGTGGCGACAGCACGCCTGTCCAGAAGCAGCTTTACGATGTGCAGCAGATTCATTCCACTGATGTAGCATTTGCGGCAATCCGGAAGGACGGTGCTGTGGTCATCTGGGGTGGGAAACTCAGGGGTGGTGACAGCACACGTGTCCAAGAGCAGCTTAAAGATGTACAGCAGATCTATTCCAACAAAGTAGCTTTTGCAGCAATTCGAAAGGACGGTGCTGTAGTAAGCTGGGGCGACGCTGTTGACAGCAGCCGTGTCCAATCGGAGCTCCAGGAAGTGCAAGAGATTCGCTCAGCAAGTTATGCGTTTGCAGCGATCCGTAAAGATGGCACGGTGGCAAGCTGGGGCGATCCACATTGTGGTGGCGACATGACCTCTGTCCAAGAGCAGCTTCATGATGTCAGTTCGGTTCACTCAACTGCTCAAGCCTTTGCGGCACTGCGAAAGGATGGTATCGTGGTAAGCTGGGGCAAGCCAGGATATGGTGGCGATAGCAGGCATGTGCAGGAGCAGCTGCACAGTGTGCAGGAGATCCACGCCACGAAATTGGCTTTTGTAGCAGTCCGGCAGGATGGCAAGCTTGTATTCTGGGGATATCCAGACCTGGAGGACAGTAAGAGTTTTCCACAGATACAAGAACCACAGGTTCGAGAAACTGGTGGCCCCATGGCAGCTTTTTGTTGCCGTTTGGGGTGGTGGTGACAGCAATCACACTCGAGAGCTGTTTCCATCAGAAGGCCTTCACGGTGCCAATCATCTGTTTCGTCCGAGGGGTGGTGCTGTTGCGAGCTGGGCAGCAGAGGGGCAGATGTAGACGATTCTGCTTCAGCTTGCCAGGTTCGAAGTCTCACAAGACAACGCCGCGAAATGGTGTCAAAATGTAGGTCTGTCGATGCAAACACTGATCATTTCCTGTCTTGGGTAGGTCGCAAGTGCAAACTTTGTGGTGGGTCGATCGGATTGCGGCTGGGAGGAAACAGAGAAGAAGATCGTAGGGTAGCCTGCAAGGGTTTCCCCGCACCACAAGCCCGGCATCAGGAAGCAGCCACTCTCCGTTCTGCCAAGCTCTCTGCAAGAAGTCCGACGTCGAGAAGCAGGGGCTGACAAGATGCAAGGAGTTGTTAGAGAAAGACTGCAGGTCCATGCAGTACTACGACTCTCGGCGGTGTTAGATTCTTCAGGTTGGGGGTTTCAAAAGCAAGCCTTTTGGATCTCCGCTCAAAATCTGTGGAGGGTAGACCAAGCCAAAAACTCAAAGCCAAGCAGCGCATTCAGTGCCTTCACAGCAAGCCTTCGTCGTTGCGCGCTAACGCCTGACACCTCTGACCGAAAAGACAAATTGACCACACCGCGAGCGAAAAACACGCCTTCATCCAAAAGCAAGTAAGATTCAGGACTTTCCGCAGGTGTAGGTTCAGATTCAGTGAGTTTCGGGCCGTGGGATTGAAGGCTTCAGGGGTGCATCTTGCTACTTCGCTCCTCTTCCTGCGGCTGCGCCCCCGGCAGCTGCTGCTCCTACTTGGAGGTTCAGGGGACTTAGCTAGTAGGGTCATAAGTATCTGTATGTAGGGCTATAAACTGATATGGATATCGTTACCTTACTTACAACCCTACTTACTAAGCCCCCTGATCCTCCAAGTACTACCATAACGACCACGAAACTCCAGCCGAGAAGGTGGCGACGTGAAGCCTCGTGCTCGGGGCCCTCCCCAAGAGTCTCAGCAAATGCCCATGCCCGGCAAGACAATCTCAAACTTGAGGGTTTAGGGTTTAGGGTTTAGGGTTGAGGGTTTAGGGGTTTCGAGTTGTTGCTATGAGCCCTTGCACCTCGCACGCCTTGTTTCACAGGTTGCTGAAGCTTCGAACCCAACACCCTGAAACCCAAATCCGAAAGCCATAATGCCTAAGGTCCTACGGCCGCTTTGGGGTAAACCCTAAACCCTAGGGTTTAGAGTTTAGACAGAGCTTAAAAGGTTGAAGAAGCTCCTCGCCAGGCCAAGGGCCTCTATGGGGAGAAGAGGCTCTGCCTCTGGCAGCCGAGGTGGGGGTGTTCCGAGGACGGGGACGACGTTGAGGGATATGGGAGGCTCAGAATTTAGGGCCTCAGAAACCGCTAGAAAGAAGCCTTACATGGTAGAATGCTTATGGTGCGGACCGATCAGAAAAGACCCTTCGTAGTCAGAAGCACGGGCGTCTGTTCCCCAAAGGCCGCCCTCAACCCTCACCGGCGCCAGGACTGGACGACCGCGTGCATCTCCGAGCTGCCCTGCAACAGTTCGGGCGCGTCCTTTCGCTTCTGGAGTTTAGGATTCAGGGTTCAGGGCCGGGTTCAGACAGCGGCCAGGCCCCGAGTTGCCGGCGCTGTCTGCGTGCGAAGCACTCTGCTTCAAGACGGACGTGAAGAGCTTCGACTCGTCCTGCGCGAGCCTGTCGCAGCCTGAGTGTGACAGCGGGCAGTTCTACGAGACCGATGCAAACGGCACCCGCAAGATGTGCTCTTTCCGAAGCCCTGGAGTTTGTGACACATCGCATCAAGAGAGCTGTGAAGCATCAGGGAAAAGCTGTCCTACCAGTACCAGTGCTGGAGAGAGTCCACTGGACGAAGTCAGCAACAGCTCGGTGGCCCTCTGCAGATCCCTCTGCTACAAGACGAATGTGGCGGTGACGAGCCTGTCATGCCGAAGTCTGAGCCTGAGCCACTGCGCCAGTTCGCAGTTCTTCGAAACCGACGATGCTGGGCTTCGCCGGCCGTGTGTGCCTCGGAAAGGAAGGTGCGAAATGGACTCAGTGAACTTCTGCCCGGCTTGGCAGCCACTCTGTGTTGACACCTTTCATGGTCAGAAGGTGCCCATCCTCCAGACCGCCTCGGCCTCGGCTTCCGGGAGCAAAAAAGGCTCCACAGTGACGAGTCGCACAGAAACAACGACGATGTCGACTCACACCTCGCCCAAGCCACACCCGAGCAGCGTTTCGAGACCCACTTCGACGAATCAGCCCACAGAAATGCAGGTAGGCGCAGCTAGCGACGACTCCCCGCCGCCGTTCTGCTTCACTCTCTGTCAGAAGACGGACGTCCGGAGCGTGAATTCATCTTGCGCCGCCCTCTCTCTGACATCTTGTGCTTCGGAGCAGTTCTTCGAGACCGACGGTGACGGAAAGCGACGAGTCTGCAGACGACAGGCAGACCACTGCGAAGTCGATCGATCTGAGGTGTGCGACGAATGGTGGCCCCTCTGTGAGATATCGCATCACAGCGAGGCGGTTGTGAAGCTCCACTACGAGAGTGATACGCCAGCTCCATCTCCCGTCTCGGGCTGCTTCCTGTACTGCGACAAGATTAACACCAGGACGACTGCAGCAGTGTCTGGTGAGTAGCCCCTTTCATGCCCTCTCGAACTCTCATCTCCACTGAATGACCCTGCCGCAGGAGTCGAAACCAGTCGTGCCACGAGCTTACCCATGCAGACGCTCGGATGGTCCAGAGATGTTGATAGCCCGCCACATAATCCCATTCGCGTTTGTTTAAATCCCCTCCATCACCCCAGAACCATCTAACGCTTCTAGGCCGTCGGTGATTCCTGTGGCATGCCGCTGCTCATGTTTTCAGATTCCAGCGCTGCGCTGAGATATGTTGAGCTAGGTCTAGTCCCCCTTCTTGGCCCACTTAACGATCCGCTTAAAGGAACTCTTGTATGTACCCTTTGCAAGAAAAACCGTTAAAGGAATCCAGAAAGGAAGGCTTTGAGGTCAAGCTATTAGCGGCCCTTGAAACCTTGAAACTCTGGACCTCGGCCGAAGCGCTTGCTCTCCTCTGCTCTTGAACTCTACGGAAGGTTCTCTTGATGGCTAGGCCACGGTTTTGAACCGGAACCCATTAAGGGAACCCAGCAAGGACCTAAAGGACCCAAAGCCCTCAGGCCCGACAGCCAGAGCCCTGAGCCACATCTCCGAAGTTCCGTCAGATCTCAAGGACACCAGCCCTCTTCTGAGGAATTCCCGAACTTCTCAAAGGCAGCCCTGCTGAAAAGGGCTGCGCAAGATAACACTCAAGGATGTGGCATCTTGAGCTATACGACCCCGGCAGCCCCATCACACAACACTCTAACGAAACCTTATCAAGAACCCTTCAATAAAGGGTTCAAGGATTAGGGTTGTTGGTTCCGGGCACCCCGTTGTGTATGAGCCCTCGTCTAGGCCTAAAACCTAAAACTTGTTGAAACCCTAAGCCCTAAGGCGCCCTTACAGGAACCTTTTCAGGAACCCTTAAAGGATCCCTTAAGGGGTGTCCAGCGCTCCGGCTTCCCAGGAGTGTCACAGCGAGGTTTTCTACGAGACGGACCACGAGGGCAGCCGCCGAATGCGCCATCTCCGCATGTTGTGTGTAGAGTGGTGGGTGTAGTATGTGGAGGGTGCTGGAATCCTGGCTCTTCGTATACCGTAGGCGCTAAGCAACAAAGCCCTAAGCAACAAGCACAGAATCCTATCACTAGTACTTGGTTCTGGTACGGCTATCAACACTGTCATAGTGATGATGATTCTCATTGACCTTCTTGTTGTCCATACTGCTATCACTTTTTCTTCTTTTGCAGCCAGCGCCCAGTCTTTGCATCCTAAGCCTTGAACCGTACCTTGTTTAGAGACAGTGTGAACTCCGAAAAGCCTTAAACCGCAAATCCTACATGTTAAACCCGAATCCACATCGTCACAGGTGCCAGCTAGTGAGTTCAGGCTGCGCCGGAAACGCCAAGACGCTCTGCGAGGCCCGCATCATGACTCTGTTTAGGGTTCAGGGTTCAGGAGTGGGGTTGCACTTGTTGTTGCCGGTTGTTGCAGTTCCTGTTGCAGTTATTGTTATTCGTGATGATTTTGGCAGCTGTCAGGGTTGCCATAGTTGTCAGTAGTGTTTGCAGGTGGTCTCGTCATAGTTGTGTGTGTGTGTGATCATGCACCTTGACATAAGTTTAGTCGTCATCATCGAAGTCAGTATTTTAGCTTTGTGAATGTTATCACCGTCTTCCGGGCGTAAGGGTTAGACGCCAGGCAGAGAAAGATTCAGAATCAAACAAGTGGACGTAGTTTCTGAAGATAGATTGGAATAGCATTGCTGATTGTAGTGTATGTTGTGTTTCTTCCTAGATCGATGCTGATGCTTAGGATGTGGGAGTTGCTTGGTGGCTGGGGAGCAGGGTCTTTTGACGGTAGGTCTAGGGTCATGTCGGGTCAGCAGGCCATGCCCACAGAGCCCAATACCCCTTAATTAAGGAATATGGCTTAATTTATAGAGGGCTTCATATTATGATTTAAGCTATATTCCTTAATTTAAGGGGTATTGGGCTCTCTAGGTGCGCCTCAATACCCAAGCCCAAGCCTTCACCCTGAGCCTTCGTTGGCCAACCACGGGCGACCATGCCTTGGATGCATGCGTCCGGAAGTATCCCATCAGATAAGTTTGACTGAATTTCCTTGAAATTCTACCAGAGGTCCTCAATTTGGGACTCTGAACAAGGATTATCTGCTCTGGAATCGCAGGCTTGGCAACCGATCTGCGACGTCACTGTGCACGCTCACGTCCATGCGCCTGCCCGTCCGCCCGTGGCGCCTTCCGACTCGCGGCTGGTGCCAGGGAGGGTTGGCAGTTTAGGGTTTAGGTTTAGGACCTAAAGTTTGGAGTAGAATCAAACAGATCCGCAATCCCTGAAATTGTTTCCAAGTTGATCCTCACTTCCCTACCTTACGAAGCGGCAAGCCTTACAGCCTTACGCCCCAAAGCTTTGCTCCCTCAGCAGTGTCTCGGGGGTGTTCTGCAGTGAGGGTTCCGAGGGGAGCAGACGGGATCCATTGCGGCTATGCCGTTGCAACCCGTCCATGCTTCGTTTGTGTGGCTGCCTTGTTCTGTTGGATGCTTGCGCGGCAAGATGATTGAGTAGGTACGGAATTCTACAAGACCACATCCGGCGAGCACACCTTACAGATCCTACCTGGCATCTGTGCAAACGAATACTCTTTCCAGCAAAAGCCTGCCAGCATCAGGCCTCATCAACTCCACAAAGTCCACCAGCAGCTAGTCCCAAGCAGACTTTACGACGACGCAAACTCGTTGAACCAAGAACTCCCCAACAGGGCACCATAAGGCGTTAGGCCCTTTAGGCCTATCCTCGCAGGTGCGGTCTTCTCAAAAAGCTTCGGCATCTTCGCCGGAAACCACCTCGATGGCTCCTCACTATCGGAATTAGTAGACTCTAAAGCTTTTGTTGGATCATACAACCTCCTATAATGCTGAACGTTTAATTGCCTATGAACCCTGCATCGTAGACTCCAGAAACATCCCCCCAGCGTGCTCGGCAAATAAGGCTCCGTCTAAGGGTGAACTTGCCTCGATGTCTCCGGCGGCGAAAGCTTCGATGGCTCCGCCTCCGCCCGCGTCCATGGCCCCACCGGCGACGGACGCATAAGAGGGGTTGTGAGGGCTTCAGGGTTTTGGGGTTTGAGGAATTTCAGCATCTCAGGGTTTGGGGTTTGGCGTCTTCACTTTTTGGGTCTTCCGAGGTTTCTCGGGAGATTAAGGCTGCCTGGTTTCGCATAGTCTGAACCATTCGGGCCCTTGGATTTCACATACGGTGCGTCACTTACGCTGCGATGATGAGTTCAAGTTTTGATCAAATAAAGTGGGCTACCGAGGAAGCCCTCGGGTGAGCCTTTCTTGTAGCTATGGCTCAGCAGGACCCCGCAACAACTACAGGTGGCCCATGATCGCTTCTTTGCACTAACCCTGGAGGCAGAATCCCGGACCCCTTACCGCCGAAGTCCTAAACCTTGGTGGAGGATCCGAATTCATCTTAAACTCAAAAAAACCTGTAGCTCTTGCACACACCAGAGACTCCAGAGCCCTTTAGTTTAGGAGCAGTGCTATTCTGGCAGGGATCGTTACGATGCCAACGCTACAAGGGGACTGAACTTACACACACCTTTACATGGGAGTTTCCGAAAATAAGGGGGTCCTTATAATAAGGATCCTACTATTTAGGGTGCTATATCAGGGTCCCCTGTTTTCGGAAACTCCCACATCCCTTCTGAGACTATCCGACAAAACCCCGCAGCCCTATCGGAGTCTTTGGGTTTCCAGGACGGTGCAGCCATTGTCAGGGCCCTGCATGGCGAAGCGACCAGCAAAGCGCTCGCTGGGCTTCTTGGCGCTCTTGAGTGTCACGAGGGTTCTATGACGGTTTTTTTGTGGGAGTGGGGCTGTGGGCCAGGGTCTTTGGGCTTAGGGCTTAGGGATTGAGGATCACAGATGTTCAGGGGTGTTGCGTGTATAGGTCTCCGGCACGAAATGATTGATGATGGCTGTTCCAGTGCCCATTCATGCCTTTGCTGGATGCCTGCTCTTCGTGTTGTCAAGGTCTGTCGCAGCTCTTCTCGTTGCTCTGAGCTGAGCGAAAATGCCTGGGAGAAAGATCGTAGTTGGGGGCTTCACCACCCGTCACCCTGGGATCGCTTCTCCCAAAATCCCAAACTCCTAGACCCTGCAATCCTAAAGCCTGATCTCTCAACCCCTAAAGCTTTCACCGCCCAGATCAATCAGTCATGGCACCGTGTTCGCAGCATAGAAAACCTGACATCTTCATAGCTTAGAGAACCATAAGCATGCCACAAGGGTTAGTGTAAGGGCTGCTACAAGGTTGTCAGAGGGACTGCATAAGCGTGCTATAGTAGAAATTATAATTTTAGCTGTTTCTTAGGGATTATAATAACATATATTAACCAAAAATTATAATTTTTGAGGCCTTGGGCATGGTTCGGGCGGAAGGTTTTTCTGCACAGCTTATGAGAGCGCATCTCATGAATGGCTCCACCCGAGCAACTTGCAAGATCCTTCTTATTCGAGAATCAAGAACGCCAAACCCAGACCAAGAGCCTCAATTCCTGAACCTGATTAAGTCCAGGTCAAAGCCCAACCGCGTGGTTGGAAGGGGCTCTGAAGCCATCCTGAACCTCGAAGCCGATCTCTTGAAGCTGAGTCCCCAAGCCCCAAGCTCTGAGCCTGAGTCCGTTGCCCTTGGCTTGCGGGCATGGAGCTGGCGCTGGCCGCTGCGGATGGCACGGCACAGGCCTGGAACGAGGTCTACCGGCACCCAGCCAGGCAGGGAGGCGGTCCGGGGATGGTTGTTGAGGTTTCGGACCTCAAACCCAAAATCCGAAATCCTGAACCTGTTACGTGGGTTTTTGGGACCTATCACGTGTGTTTTGGAACCCTAGAAAGGTAAACGCAGTTTGGTAGGCATTGTGCTTGTGGTGCCCTGACAGGTACGGCTGGAAGGCGTATTGCCAGAGATTTCGACAGGCTTGCCGGCTCGAGGACGTCATGCTAATTGTCGGTTTGTATATTATCTGTTCGTTTGTTTCTTTTCATGTGCTTACTGTTTGTATGTATATACATGTGGGTGGTTGTCAAAATTATGGTACCTTTTTGGGTAAAGGGGCCATAATTTTGACAACTACCTATTTCTATCTATCTATCTATCTATCTATTGATTTATCCATCGAAATATCGAAATATCAATCTACCTATCGATCTGTCTACCTGTCTACCTGCCTACCTGTCTGGCTGTCTGTCTATCTGTCTATCTGTCTGTTTATCTGTCTAGTAGTCTATCTACCTATCTATCTATCTATCTATATATCTATCTGGTTGTGTGCATACATGCATACGATGCAGTGTAGACCCTATGAACATGATGACATTCCACGTCACGCTATGCTCGGCGAGGCCAGGCGAGGGTACGTGAGGGCAGTCTAACACCAATGACACACTGATGGTCAGGCAGGTGATTAGGTCGGTCGGTGTGTAGGTAGGTACATACGCTGTAGTTCGAAGGTCCAAATCATGGAGGCAAAGATGGATGTCAAACCGAAGAAAGGTAAACAACAGGCAACACAGGGGTAAAATTTCAAGCTAGAGGCAGGTGAAGCAAAAAGGTAGCGAAAAATGTAAACCAAAGATGGAACAAAGGTGTAGACCAGGCACAGGCCACATGACTCGGGTTTTTCTGCATTCACAGGCCCGCCCTCCAGGCGCCGCGGGCTGGCTGGCGGGTGGCGGGCGGATGTACCTATCAATTCTCTTTGACAAAGAGGGTCAAGGTGACAACGAAAAGGCACAAGCTGTGAAAACAAAGTAAAGGCCAGGCGAGGCGACCCATGATTTCCTACACCTTTCCTTTGCTGGCCTTTGCTATTGTGTACACATCTGTTTTACATTGTCTACAATTTTCAATTTCTTGTATGTTTATAAGCTTTGTTCTTGATTCTTTCATATCTTTTGTAAGGGAACATGATGGGGAGGGGCCTGACGTGGCCTGCGCCTTGTCTTCACTACAAACATTGATCGTTTCCTCATTCTGTTTTTGTAGTTTTGGATTTCCAGCTTCACGTCTTGTACCTTTACAGTCTATTGTACTTCTTGTCAACAGGTCTGGTTGGGCTCCATTCGTCGGAACGGTCCTTCTAGGGCTATATAGTGGATATTTTGCATGTGTGTATTTCGGGAAAGCTTCGTGTCAGCTTTACGTCCAGGAGCATGCGCTTGCAGCCTATGCCGAGCTCCGTCCTCTCAGTGAGGAGTGGCAGAAGAAGCAGCCAGGTTGTTGTTTGCATGTTTTCCTCGGTGCAAGCAAGCTTCAAACCCAAGAAGCTCGATAGTTAGTGGGCGAGTCTGGGGTTGCGGCCTTGAGCCGTTCTGCAGGGATTCGTTGTCGGTATCGGCCCTGATGCTTCAGGTACACCAAAGCCTGTGGCCTGGACGTGGATGCCTGCGTCGGCAGCCTGATGCTGTCCCTGAACGTCCTCCCCGGTGTGAGGACCCTGTCCTCCTGTAACTCGATCCACGAGGGCGCCCACGAGGAGGAAGCCCTGGTGGCTTTCACTGCCGAGGAGCGCTCTGAGCTCTGGCTGCGGGGGTTTTGAGAGCCGACCTCAGAGTCTTCGGAAGTTGCCTGGTCGCCTGACGAGGCCGAAGAGCTTGCTCGGCAAGTTGCCGAAGCCGTGGGCCAGAGCCACTTCCGAGAGTCCCAAGAGGGACTCATTCAGCCACGCATGGCTGGGGAGAGGGCGGTGGCCTTCAAAAGCTACATCGCACCTCGGTGTGGCGTGGCCTCCTTGTCGTTCCGTTGAAATCGTGGAATCCTTGACCTTCCTAGAGCTCCTATAAGGGAGTTCCCGAAAATTAGGGGTACCTGATGTTGGGGTCCTTATCACAAGGATCCGACTATTTACTATTTCGTGTACTCTATTAGGGTCCCCTGTTTTCGGAAACTCCCAATAAAGGTCCTGAAGTTAAAACAACATTAGCCGAGGTGTTTTCGGTGGCCACGAAGGCGGGTCGCCCTGACGGGCTGCAGAGGCTGCAGGAGATGATGGCTGCAGCCCGTGCGGTCCATTCCCTCGCCCGCCGGCTGCGGTCCGCTGCCGAAGCGTCGACGTCGGAACCACAGCAACCGCAACATCTCCCAACCTCCTTGCCCAGTGAGGAGGCCCAAAGAGAAGGTTTGGACGTGTCGCCTCTGGCGATCGACTCTCAGCTGAAGGTGAAAGGACTGAGGAAGCAGTGGAGCACCCAGCGCTGGGTGCGGCTGAGTCCTTTCGATCCGAAGGAGCTTCGCAGTTTGCGCGACGAGCTGGTGGCTGATCTGAAAGGCTTGCAGCCCATCGAGACGTCGCACACGCAGGCACTGGTCCTACCTCTTGAGGAGGCCCAGGAGGCTGGCTCTCCGGTGCTGCATCGCTTGGTAGAGACTTTTCGGGCTCAGCAGTTCCGGAGCTTGGTGCAGAGCATCACGGGCTGCAGCCCTTTGTCTGTAGCTTCGCAGAGATGTGCACTGGTGGCCATTCCGCCTGAAGGGCACGTGCTTCCGCAGTGCTTTGCCGGCGAGCACGCGAGGGGTGAGGTCGCCTTCGTCCTGTTCCTTTCGGAGGACTGGTGGAAGGAGGGAGATGGTGGGCTCCTTGAGCTTTACGGCCCCGAGAGTGGGAAACCGGCTGCCAGACTCGTGCCGGAACCGTTCCTGATCCTTTATGCAGCTGGGACAGGGGCTGCCATCACCCGCGTTCTCACCGAAGATGCACCACAGCTCGCGGTCCACGGGCTCTTGGCATCACACGCTCCGGAAGAGGCGGCGAGCCCTTTCCTTGCGAACGACTTGATCGTGCCCAGCGGAGGCCGGGGTCTCCAGAAGCACCGGGCTCTGAAGCAATGGATCTGCGAGAAGTTTCTGGACACACCCTCACAGACCGCTTTGAGGGCGCAGTTCGAAGAGACGAGCCACATCAAGCTCCCAGGCTTTCTAAACGAGAGGCTGGCCACAAGCGTCGCGGCCGCCATCGGCGATGCTCAGCTGAAGGAGTGGCAGGAGGCGGGGCCGGTGCGGGTGCAGCGCTGCCTGGTACTGAGCGCTGGCGCAGGGGAGGCTTCTAGATGTCCCCTGGGCAGAGCCATGGCTGAAGTGGGTAGCTACATGGCTTCAGAGAGCTTCCTGCAGTTCTTAGAGGCCATTACAGGAGTGACGCGGCTCCGCGGCTCAGCTCCCTCGCTGCAGATCCGCTGTTTCCGGCCGGGCTTGGACTTCCAGCGGCCCAGGTGTACCCAGAGGCCCCAGCTGGACGTCATCCTCGGCTTCGAGGTCGCAAGTGCCGGGTCCCGGCTGCGGTCCCGAAAGATGAGATCGATGAGATCGATGGGGGGTGCGGACGGCTACGTCGAGGGGGACGCTGCTCACCTGAGGACGGCGGAGGCCTCGGGGATCCTCGCTGGGCCAGGAGGCGTTCCTGCTCCGCTCCCCGTGCTGCTCCGGCTTCCTTTGCGGAACAACGTGCTGCGGCTGGTACTTCGGGATCCGAAAACCTCGCACTATGTCGAGCCACTGCAGGCGTCGGCACCGACAAGTCGCTGGGAGATTTGCCTCGCTGTGCCCGTGGAGGAGCTTCCCAGCAGTGGCGAGGAGGCAGAAGCACCGTCCGCGCCACTGCTCTCCGCGCCCATCAAGGCTAAAAGGCGGAAGCGAGGAAGGAGCAGGACGGCCACGGCCAGTGAGTTCGAAGCAACTCCGACGAAGCGCCGTGCTGAGGAAAAAGGGAAAGGGTGAGATCAAAGCTTTCCACTGGTTTTGCGTGGACGGTGCGTTGCTGTTCGGCAGCCGCAGGGCATGAGTGCCCTTAACTGATGCTCTTACGGTTGGATGCTTTGATTTGTCAGGTGGGGTGAGACAATCAAGTAGTCCTCACGTACCGCATCGGAGTCTACATCTCTACCTGTGCGAGTCCAGCCCGAGCAAGCCGCAAGTTCACTGCATCAGGCTAAGGAAGGTAGCACAACATTCGACGAAGGTTGCAGCAGCACATAACATCAGTCGATTTTCTTGCTATGCGAGGCAGTGTCACCAGCTTCCCACATTTATGTTCCAATCCTCGGGTGTTACACAACATGCTGTAGTCAGCTCCCAGTGCAACTCACTCGAGGTTCTGGATGCATACAATGCCAACACAAGCAACAAAGCATCCAACATAAGTTAAGTCGCGAGTTGCCAGATGTCGTTGCGGCGAAGCCCCCACCGTAGCCTGCGGCCTGCAGGCAAGCTCAGCTAAAACCTCGAGACGGCAGGTTGTAGTAAGATTGAATAGTAGTAGTAGTAGTAGTAGTAGTAGTAGTAGTAGTAGTAGTAGTAGTAGTAGTAGTAGTAGTAGTAGTAGTAGTAGTAGTAGTGGTAGTAGTAGTAGTAGTCGTAGTCGTAGTCGTAGTCGTCCTCCTCGTCGTCCTCATCGTGGGAATGATAATAGTTGTAGTTTTGTCGTAGTAGCAGCAACCGCAGCAGCAGTAGCAGCAGCGCTAGCGGAACGTTGATAGAAACTGCAACTGGTGCAGTGTAGACAATAATGATAGACATAGGACATAGGAAGGTAGGAGATGCATAGGTAGGAGATGCATGGTTTGGTTGGATGTTAGCAATGTGGCAAGACAAGTACCTTGACCGCGGTGTTTAGTCACGCTTTCGAAACTTTGATAGCATCAGCATGCGCTCCATTGGTACGAAGGGGAACAGTAATTGTGACAGCAAGAACAGCATTGTGAGTGCTGTTGGTAGACTCTTACGGATCATGACAACACTATTGGGTTGAGCCCGCATCCTACATTCCTTATCCAGGCAGATGCCTAGCTTTCGCTTGCTTTGCCGCGGCGGTCGCCCTCACCGTGGGCTGGGTTCGGGCCTTCTTCTCCACACCCTCTGTCTAAGTGCTTCCGTTCTATGGGAATTTGAGGGAGTACCGGGTTGGCACACAGCGCTACTAGCTCTCAGAGACGCCTGACTTGCGTACTTTGTTGAGAATCTCTCGCAAGAAGCACTCTGCTGCTGAGGGTTCTAGACAAAGGTCCACAAAGGTCCGCTATGTGCTCTGACCGTTCCTGCTTCGGAGCTTGTTCTGGGAGTTGGAGACATGTTAATATACAAGCTTGAAGGGTTCCTTGTAGTAAAAGTTTACTACTTCCCCACAACCCTACTCTAATTTTGAGGTCTCTCTATCACAGAACTCTCGTATAGGGCCCGTGTATGGCCCATGCAGAAACTCTTGTAGAAACCGTTCAAAGGAAGCTTTTTCTAATTTCAGCGACCCCTAGAACTCGGTATCGGACTCCGGGTCCGCCAAAATTTGCTTGGTTTCGGGATGGAAGCTCTCTACATGGGGTTGAGGGTGGAGTTTAGGATTTCCGGATGACTTTCGGTGTCTAAGGCTTCGTAGAGTAGGAAGTGAATTGAGGGCTCCAGATGTTGAAGAAAGGTTATTGCCTCTGGATGCTGCAGTTCCGTTGGGCATTCTTTGTTCAGACTACCTAGCTTCTCTCTTCCGCGGTCGAAGGTCTGCAGAACATACTCCTGCTCGCGGTTTCCCGCGTCGCTGTTATGGTCCGTGTCAATAAAACACGAAACTGCCCGCCTTGATCATCGAACCCTGAGTCGCCAAACCATGAATCCAACATGCCCTAGTTCCCAACCCTAAACCTCAGTCCACCTGCGTCTTGAGGTCGGTCAGACTGACAGCTTCACTTCGTGGCCAAGCACCGCCTCGCGTTCATGGCAGGCTCGGAATCCGGCACTGGGCAAACAAGATGTGACAGATGTCGAACTTACGCAAGAAGACTGATTTCGACGATGAGAGTTGCAGTAGCACAGACACTGTCGTTCGTACACACAAATGGCTGATATCAAGAGGCCACGACGAAAAGCTGAAAGGGCCGGAGACCGTGGAATCCGTGGAAGAACCACAAACAGAGTCGCACTTCCCTAGCAAATACCAAGTCTCGACAGTATTTACGGTCATCCTTGCAATTATAGTAGAAGCCAGAAAGTTGGAACATGGCTTTAGAAGGATTGGTGCTAGGATCCCTTTTGATTTACCTTAAGGGCATGAGGAGAATGATGTTCCAACTTTCTGGCTTCTACTATAGAATGACGTGATTCCGTGTACCCACAGTCGGCACATAGTCGTCTTCGTCGTATCCCTCACAACAACCACCAGGATAAGTAGAAGCATACTAATAGTGCGAGCAATCGCAGCAGTCAGAATTTCAACCATCCCACGCCATCATAATGTTTTGACGTTGGTCATGATAGCTTTCATAGTAGTCCAAAACAACCATCACGACCCTGGTGGCAACTCTCACAATGCTGCTTGAAATACTCATGGTCAGTTGCAGGAGTGAGTCTCCCAATCATATACAGTACTTGGGGTTGAGGGTTCTGCTTCCAGGCTTGCCGTACTTGCAGCCAAATCCTCGATCTGAATCTGCTGCTGCAGGCCTTCCAATGTGATCCTGACAGTATCTTAAACCCTGAACCGTGTCATCGACCCCAAACCCTGAAGCCTAAAACCTAAAACCTAAACCGTAAACCCTAAACCCTAAATCCCAAACCCTAAACCCCATACCCTAAACCCTAAACCCCAAACCCTAAGCCCCAAATCCTGGATCATCAGGCCCTGAAGAGGCATGCCTTGGAGCGGCAGCGAGCAGCTCCAAGGGACGAGAAGATATCTCCGGAGCGACTGCCGCTCTCATGACGCTCCTTGTAGTGCGTGGTAGTTGTGGTAGGTGGTAGAACAGGAGCATGAGCAGCAGCCGTAACATCAGCAGCAGTAGTAGTAGTAGTAGTAGTAGTAGTCGTCTTGCAGCAGCAGCAGCCGCGGCAGCAGCACCAGCAGCGGACGTAGGCGGTAGCCGTAGTGGCAGTGATGCTGGTAGCCGTGGTGGGGGTAATAGTAATAGTTGTTCTGGTGCTGCTGTCGTCGTTGTATCTAATGTGCAGTCGCAGCATGTTGGTTGCTGTCACCGTGGTGGTCGTAGTTGTTGTCGGAGTAATGGTTCTTATTCTTCCTTTTGTCCCTCTTCCACCTCCTCTTTTGCTGGAAGTTGCTTTTCGACGTTTTGCCACTACATATGGTGAGATTGTCAGAACTGTTATTGAAGTCGGCCATGGTCTTGCTGGAAACGGTCATAGTCTTGGTAATTATAACCGGCTTCTTGTCAGTAATGCTCCACTTTCGGTTTGGTGTTAGTGCTCCTACTTTTGTTACTGCTGTTGCTGCTTCTGTTCCTGTTACAGTTCTTTTTCCAGGTTCTCCGTCAGTGTGGTGATACACTGACGACGGTGTGTAAGATTTTGATGCCGGTCGTCAACCCGATTGACTTCTTTTTTACACTGTCGCAGTGCACTTGCAGTTTGTGCTTGTCGCTGAGTTCTCAGTAGCAGCCTCGCCGCGAAGGTAAGCTTTCACGGTTTTTTTGATGAAGCCCCGAGCAGTGCACCATCAGCCTGAGTCTGATTCCCCAGGAGCCAGATGCCGCCAAAAGCGAGGATGGGGAGGAGGAGGCGGAGGCGTGGACCTGTTAGGCTGTTAGGCATTGCTAGGCTTGCTTACGCGTCGAACCATGGTGTGCGAGATCGCTGCTGCACAGGGGGATCCCATGACATTCTTCGTGCCGGTTGTTGTCGTTCTCCTCTACCTGGGCTTCGGCACGATCTATTCTGCCGAGTGCCCCACTTGGATTTGCTCCGCTGCCAACCCCCGAACGATAAGTGCCCCTGCTCGACGTGAATTTGGAAAGTCGCACGGATGTCTACTTCTTGCAGCATTAGCATTAGCAGCAAGCAGTGTCGGTGCGGCGACAGTGTTGGTGATGGTGGTGATGTTGTAATCGCAGTCGTCATGGGGGTAGTAGTCGCGTGTGATACTTGCACATATCGCCCTCACCTTCATCACCATCGTCATGCTCATGGTCACTGTCGTCGCATGCATCATCAACACCATTGCCAGCATCGTCAGCTTCAGCATTATCTCCATGTCGATGTCGTTCCTTTCCGTGTCGGCCCAGGCCAATATCTTCTATCTTTCATCTTAGTCGTCTTCGTTGTCGCCATCGCCATCCTCAGCCTTATCACCGTCACCTTGCCTTTCCTGTTGTTTTGCACAGCGTCAGTCAGCAAGCTGAGGTACTTCATGCCAATGGGAGATGTGGGAGGAAAGCTAGCCGTGGGATTCGGAGTAATCTTCGCGATTCTCGTTTTCGGTGTGACGGTCAAGGAAGTGCTATCATAGCCACTCCCCGTCTCTGCGGTTTCACATCATGATCCGTCTGATCGTTTCTGCTTGGCAAAGAGTCGTCCACTGCCAAAGCATGCCTCAGATCGGCAAGCCTTGTACTGTGTTGTCCGCTGAAGACTGCGCGGTGAAGAGAGTGTGTAGAGTCTCGTTAAGGAGACGTAAAACAAGCACCTCTTCAAGACCCGACACCAGTAGCTCTCCTGGGGGCATGCCTCGTAGGAGTCTCACATAGTCTTGTTGATCCCTCGCATCTCTTTGCGACTGCATTCGTTTGGTCACCTGCACCTGGCTCGAGTGCGGCTTGTTTGCGCATGAAGCAGGCTTATTTCAACTCCTGGCTCGGCACTAAATGCTCATAACAAAACCTCAGAGCTTCCAGCCATGGATATCCGCCCGGCTTCATCTTCAGCATCCCTCAGCCCCACTGCAGCCTCCCCGAAACACTCTTCAGTACTCCGTATCGTCCAGTACGCATCTTGAAGTCCAGTTG